CAGCCACAACTGCCAGAAGAATTGTTCGTGATACAAAGAAAAGCCCACAGGTAACCTCAGGATAAAGTAGAATAAAAAGGCTACTGAAAATGGAATAAAAACCATATAGGTAGAAGGAGGAAGGGGAGGGGGAAGAAAAGGGTTGTGTCACATATAGATGAGTGACTGATTCACTGAATATAATATTAAATAAACTGAAATATGTGAGCGCTCCAAATATAAATTATCACCACTTAAACAGCTGCCCTCCGAAATGGCAACTGCTGAACAAAACTGATATAAATCTGATTGATCACTCAGGGACCATTTGAGCTGATACAATGTGACAATTGAATCAATCAGATATAAAATACACTGTACATAATTTATTAAACATGTAAAAGTGGTAACATTCACTTATATAGATCCGGTAATAATAAATGTATCACACCAGTAGCAACAATGTTGTCCAATACAGAGTCACAAAACACGGTGTGGGGCCCCCTACACCGATGAAAAAATTTAGCAATTGGAACTGAAAGTGTGCACACAGGAATTAAGAAAAAATAGATATAAAATCAATTGAGAAAAATGTATCTGAATTTATAAAATAAAATCAATTAAGTCCAAACACATCCGCTTATCCTGGGGGAGGGAGCTCTGAAACCCACCAAACAACCCGGTATAGGCTAAGGGTGTTGCTATGAAAAGTATCCCTAAGCTGGAATGCTCTGGGGACAAGCCAGAGCAACTTACCCTGTCCGCCTGACCTTGGTGTGAGGTTGGAGGAGCACGCCAACTCCTCACCAGGAGATAGTGAGTGTATACCGCTCAAGTCACAGCAGTTACCGGAAATCACTCCTGGACCGTAAATGAGAATAGGGCTGAAAGTATAGAAAAAATGAGAGGCAGAACGTCTACTCGTTTCGTCCTCTTTAGAGGACTTTGTCAAGACTAAGATCTGTTATCCCTAGTATGGGTATATATACCCTCCATGTAAAGTGGTGTCTATGGGACATCAATTGTAAATAATTTCACACAGGGCATATTGCCTAATAAATGCATTTAAAAAACAAATACAAAATGTAATCAATAATAATAATAATAATAAATAATAATAAATAATGAAAAAACAAATAATAAAAGAATCTCCCCAAAAGCCTTACAAAATGTGGCATAATCATAAATAGATCATAACAATTCGATACAATTATTAACTAATACTTAAAATAAAAATATATAAATATATAAGAATAAACAACCACCATCAAATCGGTGGCATAGTTTCCTCAATTAAAAAAAAAAGAGCATATAAAACTGACAAAAGTAAGAATAATATAAGCCCCAAAGAGCAATACAAGATTATCAATAATGTATGTCCCCAATAAATATTATAATAATAGTCCTATGAATAGTGTCACATTCACAAACCTCAATGGACTCGATACATAAAAATGTGGGAAAGGGACTATGTTGCATATATATACTGTTCATGGTAAATAAAAAGAGCACTTGTCTTATCCTTATGATCCTTAAAATGAATAAAGAATAGAAAATAGTGCATCTCATACACAAATATATTTTTGGTGTGTCAGAAAATCAGTCAGACACCAAACCGGGGAAGAGTCATATGGTAATTATTAAAGAATAGACTGAACTAATTACAGGACAAAGGTTTTCCTCTCTGTCCTACAAAACCGCTCACAGAACTTATCATAGATAAACCAAATAAACACAAATACGTGAGCACCCACCTCACTTGTGTTCACTCCCCCTTGTGGAACTAGATACACCAGGACTGAGGGGGAACACTATCTAAATCCCAAAGTGTGGTGGGTTGCACAGCAGAAGGACAAACATTCTGGAACAAAAAAGAGATGGGGATTTCGACAGGAACTCAATGTGATTACATAAATAAATATATATGGGTTTAAACAATATGCTCCAATGCCTCAGTTAACCCACAGGGGTTGAGTGTATTCAGTCGAAAAATCCACCTGTTTCAGCTGAGATAAGTGCTAATTTTCTGTTATTAGTTGTCTCAGGGATGTGTTCGATGCCCATCACAGATATATCTGCAGGGTTACTCTCATGAACCATTTGGAAATGTGTAGCCAGTGGAGATTTCCTATCCTGATTAATGATAGCTAACCTATGCTCCCTAAACCTAGTATTGAGTGATCTAGAGGTCTGGCCTACATATAATAGTCCACATGAACACGTCAACAAATAGACCACATAAGATGTGTTACAAGTGATCCTTGAGATTACTTTAAAGGTCTCATTATTTGAGTTTGAATGAAAATCTGATCTCCCATGGCATAGGTACTGGCATTTTTGTGTTGAGCGACATTTAAAATTCCCAACTCCAGGGTACACCGATGTATTATGAGGTTCAATAGGAACGCGTTTAGAGGGAGCCAACATATTCTTGAGGTTTATATTTTTCCTGAAGGTAACCCTGGGTGATCCGGCAATGCTAAACTTAAGCCAGGGATCTAATAATAGGATCGACCAATGTTTACGAAGATTGGAAATGATTTGGTCAAATGCTCTATTGAAAGTGGTGGTGAATATGGGACCTTTATTCTGAGCCACATCCCTGGTACTGATGTTGAATTTCTTCCAAAGCTCTTTTCTTCTTCTAGGTGTTTGGTTTTCCAATAGGGATAAAATCTCCAAATGTTTGACCGATGATGGAGGTGGTATAGTTAGAGTATCCTTCTTAATAAGAGAATTAATGAGGGAACTTCTATTGAGGTTTCTTGCCTTCTGGTATGCCCGACAGATTAGATCCGTGTCATAATCCTTGTACAAGAAAACGTTGGCATAGGTCCAAAGACTCTTCTTCAAAATTCTCCAAAAGTGAACTGTTGCGGCGTAATCTTATGAACTGGCTAAATGGGATATTATTAATCCACGTAGGATGGTGGCCACTAGTGGAATGCAGGCTAGAAACTAAACCATGGGGAGTAGAAAAGAACTGTCAAAAGACCTGCGTAACAAGGTAAAGGAATTTTATAAAGATGGAGAAGGATATAAAAGGTTAGCCAAAGCCTTGAAAATGACAGCCAGTACTGTTCAATTACTTATTAAGAAGCTTAAAATTTGGGGATCTCTTGATACCAAGCCAAGGTCAGGTAGACCAAGAGACATTTCAGCCACAACTGCCAGAGGAATTGTTCGGGATACAAAAAAAAGCCCACAGGTAACCTCAGGATAAATACTGGCTGCTCTGGAAAAAGATGGTGTGGTTGTTTCAAGGAGCACAATACAAAAATACTTGACCAAAAATAAGTAGCATGGTCAAGTTGCCAGAAAGAAGTCTTTACTGTCAATGCCACAAAAAAAGCCCAGTTACAATATGCCTGACAACATCTTGACATGCCTCACAGCTTTTGGAACACAGTAATTTGGAGTGACGAGACCAAAATAGAGCTTTATGGTCACAACCATAAGCACTATGTTTTGAGAGGGGGTCAACAAGGCCTATAGTGAAAAGAATACCATCCCCACTGTGAAGCATGGTGGTGGCTCACTGATGTTTTGGATGGGTGAGTTCTAATGGCACAAGGAATCTTGTGAAAATTGTTTATAAGATGAATGCAGCATATTATCAGAAAATACTGGAAGACAATTTGCATTATTCTGTACGAAGGCTGCAGGGACACTCTTGGAGTTTCCAGCATGACCCTAAGCACAAGGCCAAGTTGACCCTCCAGTGGTTACAACAGAAAAAGGTGAAGGTTCTGGAGTGGCCATTAGACATGTACAATTCATTTCATTCTGAATATACATTCAGAAGAATTTCGAATTGGCGAATTGCCGAATTTCTAAATTGCCAAAGTGCCAAATTTCAGAAGTGCGGAACCAAACTGAATTGCTGAAGTTCCAAATTGCCAAAGTTCCGAATTGCCAAAGTTCTGAAGTGCTTCGGATTTCTGAAAAGTGGCAAAAAAAGTGGTTAGGGTTAAGGTTAGGGTTAGGACAAAATAAGTGGTTAGGGTTAGGGTTAGGGGTTAGGGTCCAAATTACTGAACTTCTGAATTGCCAAAGTGCGGAACCGAACCGAATGCCATTGGTCCTTATTGCTGAAGCAGACACATTTTTTTACTTACCTGAATTTCTAAACTGAGCCAAATTTTTTGCCCATGCACATCCCTAGTGGCCATCAAAGTCTCCTGACCTTAATATCATTGAGCCGCTCTGGGTGGATCTCAAACGTGCAGTCCATGCAAGATGACCAAAGACTTTGCATGTCCTCTAGGCATTTTGCCAAGATGAATGGGCGGTTATACCACCTGCAAGAATTAGGGTCTATTACAAAAGACTGTACATTGTCATTGATGCTAAAGGAGGCAATACACAGTATTAAGAGCTAAGGGAATGCAGACTTTTGAACACTGTGTCATTTCATTTTTTTTCTTTGTTTCCATGTTTTGTTTTATGATTGTGCCATTCTGTTATAACCTGTAGTTGAATATGAATCCCATAATAAATAAAAGACGTGTTTTGCCTGCTCACTCATGTTGTCTTTAAAAATGGTACATACACTACTAGTTCAATAAGGGTATGCAAACTTTTGAGCGCAACTGAGAACCTTACTCAAACGATCTTACAATCCTATAAATAAGTACGTAAGTCAGATAAATACTATGTATCAGTAAGCAATGAAGTAAATTATGATTATTAAAATAACATGGTTAATCATAATTCACCATGTTGTCATTTGTTTCCTATCCCCGCTATCTTTCATTTTGTTATAAAAAATGACACAACCGTGAAATGTAAAAATGATCCTCTCTACATCTCAAAAGATATATTCAGTAGTGTTTAAGTAGAGATTGTAGCCATATTAGTCCAGTGATGTAGATGTAAAAAACAGATAAAATGTGTATCTTGTAATACCTTTTTTATTGGACTAACATAATTTTTTAATGACAAGCTTTCGGGAGAACCTCCCTTTTTCAAGTCTAAAGCATTTCTGAACAAGACGATACATAGAATTCAAAGTTGAGGTGTGATATAGGGGTTAAAGTGATATGAGTGCAGATAAGAAAACCAAACCTGTGTCTTACCTGCACTCATGTCACTTTAACCCCTGTATCACAACTCACAACTGTTGTGTTGCTCATAAATACTTTAGACTTGAGAAAGGGAGGTTCTCCGAAAGCTTGTCATTAAAACATTCTGTTAGTACAGTAAAAAAGGTACTACAAGATACAAATTTTATCTGTTTTTTTACATCTCAAAAGATAGATATACATATAGACAGATAGAGTGAAAATGAAAATTACAAAATAAAAGTAGAGAGAAAAAACAAAAAATAAAACAAAAAATAATGTGTAACTGTAAACAAAAATTGGCAACTGGTAAGAAAACAGCACTCGGTCACTCAAAATAAAGTAATTACATTTCTGGTTTCAATTATGGTTTTGAATACAATATAGCCATATGTTCAGTTCCAATATTCAGTCAATATGGCCTTATTTATAGAGTGGATTTAATGTTGGCATTATCTTAGATCTTTATGCTTTATATTGTTAGCAGTGCTGGAAGCAGTTTTTGAAGATCGCAACTGTGTGCATTACTATAATCAATCATCAATAACAGTAACATTTATATGCATTATGTCAATTGAGTTTAATATGTTGAACAGCAGATAACATTCTAAACTAATCTATATGAAAATTATATTTTATAAATTATATTTGCCTTGTGGGAATTAGAATAAGCATGCATAAATGTATCAGTTTGAAAAAATGTATTGCATTTACATTTTAGATCAGTAATGTATATTATATTAAAGGGACATTCCACTGACCAAATACAAAATAAATACAAATCTCTATTTAGAAGATATACCCCAAATAAAAATTTCACACATGTTATAATGCATTTTTTCATTGGAGTATACAGCTTGCTAAACTCTTGTCTGCTGCTTTTGCAAATCATCCCCTTCTTACCCCACCCAGACTTTCTGTGACTGTCCAATCACAGACTTCCCAATACAGCTCAATGAGAAATCTTTGCAAGTCAGGTGCTCTAGGTAGTTGCTGTTTTGGGGGTTTAGCTATACTGTGCTTACCAAACCAGGAAGTACAGGATCTGTTTTCAGTTTGAAAGCCAAAGTGGGTGTAACCAGGTTATTATAAAAATGTAAATTTCAACCGAAAATCCACTTAAAAAAAAAATTAAAATAACTTTACCCACTCTTATAAAGCTTTTCAGCAAGCTAAACTGTTTGGAGTGATCCTTTAAGATTACACGAGAAAATACACCTTATTTTATTAACTTACTTTTTATATGTGCAGTATTATTTACTAAACCATTAATTGCCAGGAAGTGGACAGGGATTGTCAAATCTAAAGGCCCAAACAGTCAAATTGTAAAAATAATATTTTCAAATATTTTTTCAAATTTATCGATTTTTGCCTAATATTTTAAATTCTCTGGTCTGCTCCAAACAAGGTTATCTAATGAAAATGATAAATGGTAAAGGAAAAGTTCAATTGAATGCTGTATTCAGACAAAGGCAGAGAGTTTTTTAAGTCAAAGAATGTCTCCTATCCTTTTCACAATGACTTATTGTTGCAGTGCTTCTGGACTTGTGCTTATTCAGCTCCTTCATAAACTATTTTTAACAGAAATAGACTTTTAGCGAATTAAACTTTTCTCTTTTAAAAATCCAACTTTTTGGGTTATTTTCCTTTTGATTTATGTTTCTTGCAGGCATTTATAAATGTTTCACAAGAGTTGCTTTTAATTGCTACCAGCTGAGACATTAATGTCAGTTTTTCACACCATTGAAATATTTATATATAATAAACTGTGTTTTATAAACAGCCGCAAGTCATAAAATGCAAACTAGCTAAAGCTAAGCTCAGTACTAGGAACTTATTTGTAGAGGGTGAATTTTATTGTGTATCGAACCATGCACAGGCATACAGGTGTCTTATAAATGTGCTAATGTGTGATAAAGTATGTAGTACTATTTCTCTACCTGACATAAAAAAAATGTTTTCAATTTAATAATAATAAATATCTTTTGAAAATGTAGTGTTTTTATATACAGAATATTTTCCTTAAAATATGCTTTATTTGAAAGACAAAGATACATGGGATAATGTAGCAATTACAATTTCCTTATTTAATATTAGTATTTCAAAACATCCAGAGATATTCAGCTCCATTTATTAACGCGTATAAAAACCAGCGTAGTATATGATTTATATTTCTTTTAAAAGATCTCTAAAATTTACAAGTCTGACTTGTGGTATCAGAAGTAGCATAAATGTACAGCTGAAACATTAGACTTGGAGATGTGTTTCGTTATGAACTGCAATTTGTCTAAATTCGGGCCAAATAAGTGATTGTGAGTTAGCAAACTCAGAGTCCAATTAGAGCCAAATCATGAACCAAATAGATTGTGTAGTTGACTAGTATGTTCATTTCGTGTTGTGATTTGTGTAGGGCAAGGGTGTCTAACCTAACATTTTAATATAACCTCTTGCTTAATACATAATTAGAAACATCTTACCTTTGGATGAGCTAGAGATGCTGTAAAACAAGGTCATTTTAACCACCACACCTTGTATGCGATTAGGGCATTGTCCACTTCTTCTTGTATGTGTAGCCTCTACTTCCTCTACTTCCAAATCTTTGTACAGAAGAAGGCATTAGTGATTTTATTTGGACAGACTTTCAGATGGTAGAGTGACTCATCTTGTTACTGAGTGAAAGGCTTTTGATTATAAATATTTGGCAGAATATGTCTGTCTATCCAGGTATTTTTGTATGCCTGTATACCATTCATCCGCCTGTAAGATTGTCAGTCCATCTGCCTGTCTAACCTTCTATTTTTTAAATAAAATGTCTACATGTATAATTTTGAAGCTTGATTGGTGGAAAGATGAATCAATGGACTTATGGATAATATGCAAATGAAATGTTCAAATAAATATAGTAAAACTGATACATTCTAATAATAGGTCATAGTTACATAGTTACATAGCTGAAAAGAGACTTGCGTCCATCAAGTTCAGCCTTCCTCACATTTGTTTTTTGCTGTTGATCCAAAAGAAGGCAACAATCTCAGTTTGAAGTACAATTTTGCAACAAGCTAGGAAAAAAATTCCTTCTTGACCCCAGAATGGCAGTCAGATTTATCCTTGGATCAAGCAGTTATTACCCTACATTGAAAGATTATATCCTTGAATATTCTGTTTTTGCAAGTATGCATCTAGTAGCTGTTTGAACATCTGTATGGACTCTGATAAAACCACTTCATCAGGCAGAGAATTCCACATCCTGATTGTTATTACAGTAAAAAAACCTTTCCTTTGCCTTAGACGAAATCTTCTTTCTTCCAGTCTAAATGCATGGCCTCGTGTCCTATGTAAAGCCCGGTTTGTGAATAGATTTCCATACAATGGTTTGTATTGGCCCCGAATATATTTGTGTAATGTTATCATATCCCCTCCCAGGCGACATTTTTCTAAACTAAATAGGTTTAAATTTGTTAACCTTTCTTCATAGCTGATATGTTCCATTCCTTTTATTAATTTTGTAACCTGCCTCTGCACTTTTTCTAGTGCCATAATATCCTTCTTTAGAACAGGTGCCCAAAATTGCACAGCATATTTAATATGTGGTCTTACCAGTGATTTTTAAAGAGGCAAAATGATATTCTCGTCCCGCGAATGAATGCCCTTTTTCATGCATGACAATACCTTACTGCCCTTGGCCACTGCTGATTGACATTGCACATTGTTGCATAGTTTGTTGTCTATAACAATTCCCAAGTCCTTTTCGTGTGTTGTTATCCCTAATTCGCTTCCATTAAGGGTATACGTTGCTTGTGTATTCTTTACGCCGAAGTGCATAACTTTGCATTTTTCAACATTAAATTTCATCTGCCATTTGAGTGCCCAGTCCCCCAGTCTATCTAAATCCCTCTGCAGCAAAGTAATATCTTGCTCACATTGTATTATTTTACAAAGTTGTGTGTCATCTGCAAACACTGAAACATGACTTTCAATGCTGTCTTCAAGATCATTTATAAACATGTTAAATAGGTCAAATCACAAATGATGGAAAAAAGTTTAACATGCAAGTTAATGTAATGAGATTGTAATAGAAAATTTGATAAATATTAAAACCATTTATATAAAAGTAGTATTGGTAGTATATAGTAGATTAGTAGTATATAGTCATATGGCAACAGGTTTATGGAAATATGAAGTGTTGTTATTGTTAGTATTGTTTGTTAATAGTATGTGAATAACCCAAATATTAACAATCTAACTAAATAACACTATTTCATGCTATCAGATATATGCATATACTTTTTTTTATATTTATTGTGTATTAGAACAAAAAGGAGACTTACATGTTGTCTAAAGCATACAAAAATGCATAATTCAATTCATTATTTATTGAAATGTTAGGGTACTAAGAAATCTGAGTTAAATGAAGGAAGAATGACATATAAATAGAGGTAAGGAAATGGACAATGATGCATAAAAAATGCTACTTAAAGCTAAATGTTGTCAAGATCTGAATAGATGGCTACAGTCATAATCCATCAAAAATTATATTGCTAGAGAAATCTAATGGTACGTAAAGGCTAAATTTAACCATGAGTCAAAGGAAAAAAAAAATTTCTAACAATTTAGAGTAAGTGGGGAATTTGAGTTAAAAAAGCTGTGCATTTCTATAAAAACAAAAATAAATTAAAGTAGAACAAGAGGAAGTACCAGATAATTCCCAATACCTGAAACTGAATCTATTGTAGCTGTTCACTTATTTATGTGAAATGGGGCATCTGGTAAGTCAGTATTTCTGTCTTTCTCTATTTTCCAGGTATATTCTGGAAAGGGATTAATGGGAATATAACAAAAACCAACATGAACCCTAGACGTCCAAGAATATAATCTCAAATTCACTCACACTACTAGCACTCAGAGAGACCTGGCTTTCCCCCTCTACTCCTGCCTCTTTATGTTTTTGTGGGCTACAATTCTCCCACACTCCCAGACCCAACAACTGTAAAGGAGGTGGTGTAGGCATCCTTCTCTCCCCTCAATGTACCTTTCAACCAATCTCCC